CGCAAATATTACCTGTACGGTGCCTTACCTGCTCCTCAGATGAAAGGGCCACGCCAATATCACCTGTACGGTGCCTTACCTGGTTGCCAGATGAAAGGGCCACGCAAATATCACCTGTACGGTGCCTTACCTACTCCCCAGATGAAAGGGCCACGCCAATATCACCTGTACGGTGCCTTACCTGGTCCCTACATAATTTATGAAAGGCCCATGGAATTTTCCCGTACGGCGTTTTACCATGGAGGTAGAAATGGTTTTACTGGTAACACGTTATCTAGACCCAAGTCCCTCACGCACTCATTACCTGTAAGGTTTCCAGAGCTAAGAGCCGCACAAATGACTGTTTGTGGCTTATCCACCGAAGTGGAGTGATTATAGCCGTAAAGGTTGACGTTTTTTGCCCCCTAAAAGCTTTGGATAAACGCCGGCAGCCCTCCCCACCGCTAGCTATCCCTCACTGTAGCAGCTGATACCCCGACCAATAGCAGCGTGGAGCTTGCTGAGAAATTGACCAATAGCGGCGTGGCCGTCTTTCGTGGCCGTCCTACCATATTCTAGGCCAAGCCATACCTCACCAGAGTTCCGGATCCGCGAACTTGTCTTTCCACTCTACTAAAAGCTCGACAACCTGTGAAAACATGGCATGGGGGAAACTGTGGACCTTCTGCGGGGTGGCGGTGCTACTGGTGCCGCTCGCTGTGGCGGACACTCCCGCTAACTGCACTTACGCAGACATGCTGGGCACCTGGGTGTTCAGTGTGAGTCAAGGGGGGAACGACAAGACCCTGGACTGTACGGATCCTGGTGAGAAAGACTCTCCTGCTGTTCGTCCTCCATATATAACTTATGTTACATGTTAACTACTTAACATTCAGAGCACACATTCAACGGAGGGCCTTGTAAAAGTATTGCATTTTCTGTGAGCGTGGTCATTTAGTAACGCATAACGTTACACACTAGAATTGGAACAGTGGGTAATAAAATATGCATCCAATTGGAATGTAATACTAACTAGAAAAGTAACACTTGCAGCAAAATGCATAAATTTTATCTTCGCATATAGTCTGCTATGTTAGTTCTTACACAAACACAATGTGGCATTCACATATATGGTGACTACTATAAAATTGCAACATGATGTAACCCAACACCAGTTACCATGGTGAGAGAGATTCTGGTTCAGTCAGGTCTGAGGTCATTGTATGGAGAAGAAGAAATGTAGCAAAAACAATGTTTTCCTTCAGTAAACATAATTCATTCTGTCCAGGCCCAGCTACCAACAACATCACCGTGCAGTTCTCTCACTTCTCCACGGCAACTGTGATGTCATCTGGAGGCTACACGTTCGACGTGAACGGTTACTGGACCCTCATCTACAACCAAGGCTTTGAGTTCAGGTACTTCAGTTTAACAATTATACCATTATTGTCATTCATACATATAATCAAACACTACACACTGACAGTGTATTCTGTATCACCTGACCTGTTGGAAGGCTGGGACTGAAAATGATGTGGAATATGGGGTGTTGTATTTTATTCATGTCAATCCCCACCTGAGAAAAACCCACCTTTCAAAGCAAAACGTGCAAAAATTTGGTGAATTGAAATGTGCAGCAGCTGGCTATATTACACCAAAGAACTTGTTACGTAGCATTTGCACTGCTGCAAATGTCACTTTTAGGTAGACTGTATCCCATTTCTTTACTTAAATGATAACTTGTTGATTTCTTTGTCCTACACATACAGGGTGCTGAACAGGAAGTTCTTTGCCTTCTTTAAGTGGACGGGTGAGGGAAAGAACGCCACCAGCATGTGTAATGAGATCATGCCAGGTACTGCACAACTTCGGATCCTTTGTTTTGCAAAACTGGTAAACCGCCTTAAGGCATGACACGCCAGTTTTGAACAGTGAGAACAAACTGCTTTAACTCTTTTCATTTATAATGATAGGATCTTTTCTCTTTTTTTGTGTGTTTACCAGAGAACTGGTCAACTCTCCATGTATCTACAGCCATACCCCTCAATTAGTTTTTTTGTTACAATTTACAATTTACAGGTTGGTCACATGATGTGTTGGGCAAGGACTGGGCTTGTTTCCAGGGAATGCGGATTAAACCGGAACAGAAACCACGACAACCCACACCTGCTGTATACCACTCAGAGGCCAAGGAAAGGTGAGAGAACAGAGTTTTAACATGCCATGAATAGAAATTTAAATGCTTAAGACCCCTGGGAGGAAGTTATGTACATAAATTCTCAATGCTGTTTACACCACCGCTTCTATAAAGGCCATTAAGTTATTGTTTCATGTCTCAAAGGACCACAGTTAGAACAAACTATTTCTTCAGGCGTCTCCAGCAGAACTACAAGACCAACCTGGACTTCATCGACCAGATCAACGGTGCCCAGTCCTCGTGGCAAGCTGGGGTGTATCCTGAGTATGAGAAGTTCACTCATGAGGACCTCATCAGGAGGGCAGGGGGCAAGAAGTCAAGGCTACCACAGTAAGTAGGGAGGGATGAAGGATGATCTGGGTTAAATGCATAAAAACTCAAATGCAGCAACCTCATTCCTCGGCCACTTTCCAGGTACATGTATCATTAATAGAGAGAACTTTATTGCACGACAATTGCACATGGTACAATGTATGGAACTTAAGACCAACCCTGTACCAAATATCAAGACAATCCCAGGCATTCTTAAGTTACAGACATTCTGTAGCTCATCATCATCTTCAAGACTTAAACTGATAATTCTCAATATGGCCTGTAATGGCCCTGTATGTAATAGTCCGACATTGTTTGTCCATTTTGTTTATGTCTTTTCTATCTCCGGCAGCCGCCCCAGGCCTGCACCTGTTACCGAGGAAACCCGCCTTGCTGCTGCCCAGCTGCCGGAGTCATTTGATTGGAGGAAAGTGATGGGACTGAACTTTGTGTCACCTGTCAGGAACCAAGGTAAGGCACACCTGTTAGAGTCAGGGCAGCTGTGCAAGAGCACATTTAAGTAATGTGAACCCTTCCATGCTGTAGCCTGAACTGAGGAGTTTGATTTTTCTGTGACTGCAAATGGAAGAATTTTATGTAATATTGTTTGGAAACTTACTTTCATAGTATGCAGAATGCAGAAAAGGGGTTGCATGTAAATAACTGCCCCATCCTTGAGAATGACTTTTAACAGCATACAACCTCTTAAATGCATAAGATATACTTTACGACATATGAAAAGTAACCTGTACATGTGTCATAATGTTATCTGTCCATAGAGCAATGTGGCAGCTGTTATTCCTTTGCTTCCATGGGGATGTTGGAGGCCAGGCTGCGAGTGCTGACCAACAACACACAGCAGGTTGTGCTGTCCCCGCAGGAGGTTGTCAGCTGTGGCAAGTACTCACAAGGTGAGTGGAGACACAGCTATGTGTACTGCTCAGAAACACACAGCAAGGACAAGTTGTGCTGGCACCATAAGAGAAGAGATTGTCAGCTGTGGCAAGTACTCACAGTACTATCATTTGCTATCCAACAGCACACAGACCTATATTTTACTGCACCATCATGATACCAGTACATTGTAGATGGCTGACATTGATTGACATAAGAAACTGGTGTGTTAGGCCAAAAGGCGACGGTTATACCGGGAAATAGTACCGGCTATACAGATACAGATGCCAGGGTTTTGCTAGCCAGGATCAGGACAGCAAATTAGAATATCTGAGTCAAAGTGCTGATGTTTCTGAGACGTGATGTTGGCTATGTTACAGGCTGTGAGGGAGGGTTCCCGTACCTGATTGCTGGGAAGTATGCTGAAGACTTCGGAGTGGTGCTGGAGGACTGCTATCCTTACGAGGGGAAGGACAGCTCCTGTAAGGACACCTCCAAGTGTAGGCGGGGATACGCCACAAACTACAGGTAAGAATGGCTCATAGACACTCCTGTGTTTAACAGCCAAAAATGACATGATGTATGTAAATGCTCTAACTTATGGAAACCAAGCTATACTTCTGCTTTTCTCTCCTTTTTGCTCAGAGCCACACACCACTTTCTTGTGCTCTCCACTCTTACTTCAAGTAAAAGGTTTTGAACAACAATAGTCATCATCTACATAAATGTGCCACATGTATGAAGGAAAAATTTGCGGGAATGAAGAATTATTGCAAATTATAAAAAGTCCTAAAGGAAGGTAGTAACATAACAAAATTGTCAGACAGCAAAAAAAGGTTAATTCCCGCAAAATTTTCTTTCTTTCAGATACATTGGGGGTTTCTATGGAGGCTGCAATGAAGAGCTTATGAAGCTAGAGCTAGTGACAGGAGGGCCCATTGCAGTTTCATTTGAAGTCTACAAGGACTTTCTCCATTACAAAGGCGGCATTTACCACTATACTGGACTGAGTGACCCTTTTAATCCATTTGAAATCACCAATCATGTGGTCGTGGTTGTTGGTTATGGTGCTGAAGAGTCCACCGGAGAAAAATACTGGATAGTGAAAAACAGCTGGGGGACCAAGTGGGGGGAGGAGGGGTTTTTCAGGATCATGAGGGGTGTGGATGAGTGTGGGCTGGAGAGTATTGCAGTGGCTACAGACCCCATTCCCCTCATGTCCTAGATCTGTGTGGTACTGTGATAAGTCGCCATGTGTGTCCCCCTTTCCATTATGAATGAGATTTGACAGTATGCACTGTTACTGTCTTTATCTTGAGTGGTAAAAAATATCAAGTAGAGGAACACTAAAAAAGTCCTATTTTTATGAGATCTAGCTTTCGTATAGTTATCATATGACATAGGCCAGATGACTAAGAAATTGTGAATATTGCTCATACTGATTGTAAATATAAGTCAATATTTGATAGAGAGCTCTACTTTTAATTGTAGCTTACACCAAAGAATGCACTCAAATCAATGTAAATTTTTATTGCATTTTGGAGTAAACTGGTTCCCAGGTTGCATTGATCACTGATGCACTTTCACATATTCAAAATAAACAGTTGAAAATAAATTTTGCCCTGTACCGTGTAGTTTTTATGTGTTACACTACTTTATCATTTAACCAGGTTATTGGTCCATAGAGAGTGGAAAACTGTGTTTCTTCTCTAAGGACTGCAGGGAGCTGAGTGTTTCCTTGGTGTAAAAATCTTTCTTTTATATGATACTTTCAATATACATGTACTACATCTTCTCTTAAGACGATTTCTCTTAGACGATTCTTCAAATTTTACATCATGACAAACTCCGTAACCTTCTGGTTATGTATGTCATTACATATTTTTTCCAAGGTTCGCTGTCAAAGATAGCTACTTGCTAGTAGTTGGACAATCTTATATGTGTACAGTGCGCCAGACAAACAAATAAATGAACACACTTTAAAACGCAGGTACGTTGGTGGGTTCTACGGCGGATGTAACGAGGAGCTGATGCAGCTGGAGCTGGTGAAGAACGGCCCGATGGCCGTCGCCTTCGAGGTCTACGACGACTTCCTCCACTACAAGGGCGGCATCTACGAGCACACGGGGCTCCGCGACCCCTTCAACCCGTTTGAGATCACCAACCACGCAGTGCTGCTGGTGGGGTACGGGAGGGACCTGGAGACCGGCGCCAAGTTCTGGACGGTGAAGAACAGCTGGGGAGAGTCGTGGGGGGAGGAGGGGTTCTTCCGTATCCGCAGGGGCATGGACGAGTGCGCCATCGAGAGCATCGCTGTAGCTGCAGACCCCATCCCTCTCATGTCCTAGACTACAGGGTTTGTGTGTTCCTCTGTGTCTTAGGCTCATTACTATGTATCCATTAATGCAAACACATCTTTTCTGTTTTCTTCATAGATAGGTAAAAGGACTTCCAGGTCTTCATGCATAAGATTCAGAAGTAGTCAATAACTTACTCTTTCTGACTAAACAATTTCCACCCAGGGACTTGATTCTAGATTTCACATGCATGTAGTCAAGATCTAACACTTACAAACATATTTGCACATTGTGCTGGCTGTAATTTTCGGACAACTTATGGGCAACAGGAGCTCATGACACCTGTATATTATGCTATATTAGGTGCAAAAATACTGCCATCAGCTGCATATTTTACAAAGTATGGTTTTGTTCCTTTTGTGAATGATGTCCATTTTTCATTCAAAATGTAAATTTTTGTGAATATATATGGCAACCATCACACAGTAAGGAGATACTTTTTAAAAAATCACTGTCAAAAAGAGTCAGTTGAATGTGTGAGAGCAAGGACATTATGTCCTTGGTGAGAGACTTTCCTTCAAAATTCAAGAGCTGTGAATTATATATGGACTGAAGCTGCTATTGCACAGAAAATAAAGGATCGATATTCCCTAGCATCTGTGTATCCTTTTTTTTCACCATCACCACATATTCATGCACACATTAACATGCATGCACACACAGTCTAACAAGAGAGTACATTTCATCTATCTGTGGACCAAAAGACAGCACTGAGACAAAGTTGATCTTCAAAACAAATTGTTGTTTTATTCAATAAAATCACTAAATCACTTCAGATTCTGTGATGGCGCTAGCATGCTCCTTGAAGACTTACTCCAGATAATTCTACTTTGATTCTCATGTGTATACAAGTTCGACAATTGACATCCATTGACAACTTGATGATTTGTCAATGTATTTAAATGCAATTCAATACAAGTACATGCGGTAATCACGTATAAGAGGTTATGTGGATGTTGACATAGCGATTCAAAATTTTGCTGCATCTGTACATGCATAATATGAAGACTGGGAATACGGAGTAGATTTACCCGATTGCAACCGTTAGGAAGCTTCGCGAGGAGCAACCTCTATCGGTTCCGCTAGGAGACGCTTCGGTGCTTAGTTGTTTGAGGCCGTCAGGTCAACTTTTGCGGCGCGGTGTAACAATCGACTTTACGTCGGGACGGTTGCTACCACCGCACCGCATATTCAACCTGCGGAGAACAGATCCGTGGTGGAGTGTGGGTGTTGTACTACCGTTGTGACGATCCTGAAATGATACAAAACTTTCGGTAGAGTCTAGTTGAAGAATCACGCTTTCTCGTTCTAATCTAGCAGCTAGTATGGAAACAAATTACTTCAAGACAAACTTCCAAAAATTCAATGTAGAACATAAACTCAGCCTAGTATGCCCTTTCTATTTGTTTCAATGTCAAAACTGTGTACTGCTATTGTGTACTGTGACTAGTTACCGCCAAAGCTTGTAGTGTAGTGTCAACACTGTTGTAAAACTTCATAACTGGAAGGACATTACGAAACCATACATGAAAACACAATCATTTTCCTCATTACAAAGAATGGCACGTGATGTTAAGTCATTAACAAAATTAGGTTCTCATAATTTATTCCCTAACATTTTTCTCACGGTGGACAATATTTTGCAGTGCGGTGGTTGTTAATGATATGATCAGTTGTATTGACTTGACAACTTCCCTTGTGTGTAGCTGTGGCGATCCCGTGTCCTTGCCAGGCGGTGCGTGTTGACAAGATGTGTGGCGGTGTCCAGGTGTGTAGTGGTGCCCAGGCATGTGGCAGTGTCCAGGTGTGGACAGGTGTTCCCTTGTGCATCTGTTGCGTGGGTCAGCGGTACTCGAGAGATGACACAAGCGTTGAGGCTTACTGCCGTGGGAGACGGGAGCACTTTGCGCCGACCTAGTATGTAAAATGCAATATCACAATCAGCACAATAAGCATTAAAAGACAGAAGCAAGAAAATGAATTAAATTTAGTAGGCTAATACTTATGAACACCAATGGTGAAAACAATGTACACAAAACATTACGTACCGTGCAGATCTTGTTAGGTGGTCGGTTGCTGGTGGTTGTTGCTGTTCTTCGCTTCTAAGACGCGTCTTCCTCCTAGTTGTGTGGTTTGGTGTTGCGGGCCGTTAGGATGTTTGCGCGGTTTTGTGACGACTCGTCTGGTCGCCGGGGCTGCCTCGTCTTGTAGTCGGTCTGGTCACGTACCGGCGGTGGTCGGTGGGCTGCCGGGTTCTGTCCCGCCGGCGTCCGTGCCCATGGCCCGGTGCACAGTCAGAGGGGGAGACGGCGACGGTGACATTCTGCTTCGAGATTGTCTCTGTCTCTGGTCGGTCACCCATGACAGTACAGTGTTTGTTTGGGCTAAGAGATGTTGCGTCAGAATATTGAAGATGTTTTGCAGTACTTTGCGTTCTTGGGATCGTTGGGAAGTCATCTCCAGATCGACTGACCGAGTACCTGACAAGGCCGCGTCGTCGCCGATCGTCGCTGTCCACTTGCAGGGTCACCGCGGCGCTACCTGTCGTTGGATGATTTTCCACGCCGTCGCTGCGTCGTCCTTTGCTGATATACATGATTCATAATGTGTGGGATGCTGGGCGGACTACTTTCTTCACCTGGGAATGACTCGACAGATGTCTCCGAGCCCGTCCCCGCGACCGTCCCGCAGTACTCCTGCCCGGCCGTGAGCTCGTCGCTGCCCGCATCAGGCCGCCCGAACGCCAGGTCTCCGTCGCCGCCGCAGTCTGACGGCTGCCGCGTGGCAACTCCTACATATAGTCCTCCAGATCCGGGTGATGTCATCCTCTGCCGCATCCGCCTCACAGGGACACCTGCATCATATGATTCACACGTGGCGATACGTGGACGGATCTACCTCCCCCCTCACCTGATCTCCATATCCTGCAACAATTCCGAAGACGCTCGACAAAAAAGAGACTCATATTTAAAAGTTTACACGCTGAACATAAACAAACAGTTTTTCCTATTTTTACTTTTTCACAGCAAATATTCTCCCGTCGAAATGAAACACATTTGATGTATCAGATGTATCACTTTTTGTCAATCTGTCCATCCTTGTTTGATATCAGACACATCCCCAAGATGATCACCTCAAGAATGGACTGATATTGGCATATCTTTAATGGTAGGTCTAGCCAACTGAAGGCTTGAAATTTTGCCAGATATCTTGTATAGCTAGTGGCAATCATGGTAGGTGTACCTCTGGTATGTAGTTGTTTGTGACTTAGTCAGTGGTAGACGATCGTAGACTGACTGTGAGATGAATTTGACAGCGCGGTTTAGTTTATAGTAGTAACTAGAGTTCCACGATCTCATACCTTCGCCAAATGATGTTAGCCTTTATGAATAAGAAATATACTAATCACCCTGATTATGCAAATAGGATCCTCAATTGCATGAATTATATCAGTCTGTTGATCATATTCTCCACCAAAAGACAGTCTTATCTTAACAAAGAATGCCATTTTCTCATAAATTATGCAAATGTGGTCCTTATTTGAATAAGTTATGTTTAATTATGTTCACCTTCACTTAACTTTCAAACACCCCAAGTATGAAATTCCAGGCAGTTACCACTACGCAATTATAACATTTTCTCATTAATTATGCAAATTAAGTCTTCATTTGCATAATCAATAT